ACATATGCCGATCATTTCAACATTAGTGTTTTCTTTCAGTATCTTCCATTGATTGCAACTACTTCAAGTGACACAGCACGTCACTACAGGAAACTTTTGTGTATGAATACTTGAACTATTCTTACAGTAAACATTTTTGTTGTTCTAAAAATAAATGAGTCCTCTGCGTTAACTAGTGATATTTTTAATACCGAGCTTTCGGCCTAAGCGGCCATTATCAAGGTAGAGTACACGTAAGATTTTAAACAACGCAAAAAACGGAAAGYGCGCGAGGAAACATAGCAATACAGCGCGAGCTAATTACGATAGATAAAATGTAAAATGAAATGGAATGAAATGAAATGGAGTGAAAAGAAAAGAAAAGAAATGACAGACTATGACAGACTATATCACTAGTTAACGCAGAGGACTCATTTATTTTTWGAACTTATGCCTGCGTACAAAGAAATTCTAAACATTTTTGTTGTTGTTTATTTCGTCTTTAGAGTAGGGATATCAGTCACGATCACCGTCACCGTCTAAATAATTTGAAGGATTTCGTATTATGTCCCTCATGGTTATATAATTTGTAGGGGAGTTGCTGTGAATAGACGTACAGTTATTTGGTGATTAATTGATGACATTCCAGACAAAATCAAACTGAACATTTTGGGCGTTGTCTCAAGCGAGCGCGCAATTAATTAAAATCATATTAGACATGCTCCTCAAATGCCTGTTATSAAACCTACAATGAAGATCTGAAGATGGCTCTGTTGCTAGTACCTTGATACTTAGTTGTACTATGTGTCAGCTGGTTCTCGGTAACTCTCGGAACAAGTAGATGATCAACTATTTTTTTATTAATTTCCATATTCAATATTCGTCAACATCCCCAAAATAAAATAACACATTGGATTTACTTTTCATAATGTTGCATTAATATCATATATTACCCAATGTCGACTATAMTCTCAAACGAATCATTATTCTTTAAAACTATTATGTTAAATGACATCAAAATAATCCACTCCTCAGTGGTCATGTACATATAAATCACTAGTTCAGTTCCTCAGGTAAAAATCTCCAGATGAATTGGCTGCACTCTTCCTGTGAAAGATCAAACACGTTTTCAAAGTCTTGTGATGATGGACATATCATTAATTGGGAATATCAACTTACACAGTCACACCATCTTTCAACRGGCGCTTTTGGAAAGACACTAGATATCTGGAAGAATAGAGATGTACACGAAGAGAAGCTRTTATCGTAAATACTTCGAAAACATCACTGCACAAAACTCACATTGTTATGTTCTCTGCTGGATCCAAAAGTCCTGTTCTGCAAGCAGACAATGTTGGTGTCTCGCCCCTTTATCAGGAAATGGAGTAGTATATCATTTGTTTGTTCACGTTAAAGGTAAAAAAAATATATATAGCTTACATTTGTACAGCCCGTAATGTTCAATTCCGTTAAGCATCCAATGCAGCTCGAACCCTGGAATAAAAAAAGACAAAATATAGTGACTGACGATTTTCCTTCAAATGTCTCCATGATTCTACCTACCACGTCACAATTTTCAACTGGGGTATTCCTTGGAGAAATCCGGAGACATCTGTTTGCCTGGAATACCACGAAAATATATCAGAAAATNATGTATGTTAGTCAGTCATATTGCATCAACTTTTAACAGGTATTGATAAACATATCCTGGATGAGAATTATACTGTTTTTTATACACAATAACTATATCGGGCGTTTTTCGGAGGGCATTTAGATTCCTGCTCTTATGAGACAGTCGACACAACTTATTTATTGGTTTCTGCTCGGTTCTCTGTCGCGCTTATATCATGGCATTCGCACACAACACGAGCACAATTATAAAACTAATATATATTTTGGATTTAATATTGTGAAAGAAGTAATCACATTTGACGAGCCGTCCTCACTTTGAGACTCGCATCCTTGACTGTAAACACAGATCGATAGTCCTTCATGTTTTTCGCTTAGATCACGTGTAGCCCAAGCTCTTTACTTGATAGAAGAGAGAATGTATGTGAGTCTATGTAAACAGTCGATTTATAGCATAATAGGGCGAGTTTAGATATTTGGTTCAGTGACCATGCACAAAAGAATTGCAGACGAGGCTCCGGGGAAATAAAGAATAAAACGATATTATACGATCTTGGATTGGTCATTTTGAAGCGTGCACTTCAAAATAACTCTTAACAATATTAAAAAAAAATAAAATGATGAATGGATAATCTTGATTTATTCTTTATTTCCCCGGAGCCTCGTCTGCAATTCTTTTGTGCATGGTCACTGAACCAAAATATCTAAACTCGGCTATTTAAGATACATCAAATTTCGCTGTAACTTGCTGTGTGAATTATTATAGTTACCGGTAATCTCTGGAGCGATTTTCAGAACTTTTATGAATTATTTTCCCCTCTTACTKTGCAAGACATATTGCGTTAGGAGTCGCCGGGAGTTTCGACAAAAAAAAAAATCGAGCAAATTTAGAGCTGTTCGAAGTGGATATGGAGGGCCTCGATTCCTTCCTGTCACAGATTATAGTAAAAATAATTCAGAAAAGTATAGTAAAAATAATTCAGAAAAGTATAGGAAAAATAATTCAGAAAAGTATAGGAAAAATAATTCATAAAAGTTCTCAAAATCGCTCCAGAATTACCGGTAACTATAATAAYTCACTCAGCAAGCTACAGCGAAATTTAATGTATCTTTATGCTATCATGATAAATCGACTGTTTACATAGACTCACA